GCACCTCTAGTAATATATTTACTGAGAAAAATGGTGACGTGTTCAATACTTATTTTACCCGCAGTATATGTTAAAGTTTGTGTCTCCATTGTGACGTAAGTTTGAATACTTTGCTGTACCAAAGACTTAATGCTCCAGTAGCATTAAACTCATTTTAAGAGTTCGCTTTAAGAAAAAAGTAACATTTTCCCTTAAAAAGCACACAGTTTGCCAGAAATGCTTTGTTTTCTTGATTTTTTTAACAAGCCTGCTTCTGTTGTGCATTTAACTCTTTAAGATTGAATGTCTTGCTTTAAGTGTGTCTTAAGCAGGATGCAAACAATTTGTAGAAAGTAGTAAACCTTCTGAATTTATACTTTTAGGAAAACAAACTGTTATCAGCACAATCATCTTGGCACTTCTCCTTGACTCAGTTCCCCCTGCAATTGAGCAAGAACCAACCAGTCATTTGTATTATTGTGACTCTTCATAAATCAAACCCTTTTTTCCACCTCGGTGCAAAAACACTTAGTTGCTTCATCCATCCTTAAAGACTGCTTCAGTAACTCAAATCAGCACCTCTGCAGGTGACACCTTCCAGCTCGACTCAGTCCACAATTTAGTTCGATGGCAAACTGTTTCCAGCTCAGTGTCTGAAAAATGAATCGCGGGATTCTTATGTTGGACAAATCAGAATGTTTGCTCATAATCTGAGGTAAAAGAAGTTCATAACTGTAAATAAAAACAAAGTTCATTTGAGCACTTTGTACTATGTTGCATTCACTGTATCACGGTTTGCATAAATAAAGCATTATGTATGTGTAATGTGTAAATATGTTCATAACACATGTTTATTTTTTTTTTTGTCTGGTCTTTTTTTTACAGGTAAGTCAAGATAAGAATAAACTTAAGTGATTCTTGAGACTCAAGATAAAATCCCGATTGAAGAGTCTCTGTCAGCGTACTTTGGTTATGTTTTGTTTTTCTTTGCGTCTATGTTCATGGCTGGGTTTATCCCTTTTCAGTATACACTCACCGGCCACTTTATTAGGTACACCACGCTAGTAATGGGTTGGACCCACTTTTGCCTTCAGAACTGCCTCAATTCTTCGTGGCATAGATTCAACAAGGTGCTGGAAGCGTTCCTCAGAGATTTTGGTCCATATTGACATGATGGCATCAC